TAATGAATGCCCTACTCTTTTGCATTGATTTTTGCGTGTATGTGTCTGTGTGCGCACGTGTGCCTGAGAAGGATTTCTCGTGGGGTTTGCTGTAAGCAAGGAAAGCTAAATCCTCTGCCAAAGCTTCTTTTTCTACCTTTAAATAACCTCCATATTTAATATTTCAGGAGAGAATACATACAAAAATACCAAGAATGCAAAAAGTAAAAACCAATCACTTACGTCGCAGCAAGTATACCGGAAATTAGTAGAACAAGACCTTAAACAATCCAATACCTTCATGCGGCAAAAGAGTCACAGAAGTAGTGTATGTTAATTCCTGCTTTCAGGAAATAGCAGTAAATTCAAAGAGCGGGGTGAAAGCAGACCCAAAATCTCGCATTCATGACCGATTCCAGAACACAGGTTTTCCTTACACACCTAAAGGCTCATCTTGCAAGGCAAAATATGTTAACAGAAGAGTCTGCAAGCACCTACAGATAGAAAAATAATGCTTCTTTAAAAGAATTGCGCCACTTAGAATTTCTAAACACTTTAAATTGAAATATTCTGGCCAGTTGGATCTCTGCTTTAATGTTTTTCCTAGTTCTTAACATAATGAACTATGTATAATTTAAATGGAGATTAATTCTTCCATTTAAAGTGCTTTAAAATAATTCTGCCTATGATCTTGAGATCTCAACCCAGCGTCTCCACAGTGCCTCTTCTCCAGTTTTCCTTGAGCTACATAAGTGGAACTGACAGATCACTGCTCAGATAGCAGCCACGTTCTTCCCCCAAAATGTTGCCTTTTTGCTGTTCAGGAGTATCCTAATACCAACAAATGCTAAATGAAGTCTGACATGTACCCCTAAGAAACAAACTTGTAAGTTGAGGCTTCAAAGAAAACCTTGAATAAATAGGACACATTGTGTACACCCAGGCTAACATCCAACATATGCTTTAGTTTCCCGATGCTGAGACAGAGCAAGAATAGCCTCTGGTAAAGTCTGTGATTTGCTGTTGCTGGTACTTCCAACATTTATAATGTACCATTTTTTTTTTTTTTGCCTGTATAAACATTTAAAAAAAAAATGTAATTAAGAATACCGCAGCAACATTTCAGAACACAACAGAGTCATGAATAATGGATTATCTGACATGCCGCTAGTTTGATCAACAATTACAAAACAAAACAGAGAGCATTCCTGATATTTCCTTTGCAAAAGAACATTGCCGCCAATAAGTCACAACTGGACAGGTGGTTTTATCACATAAAAAAAATAACCTACATAATGAATGTTTTTAATTCTTCCCTTTGGTGGCAGTGATCAACATGCCCAACAGTGAGATGCGGCCAGTAGGTGCTATTAACAGCTACAAACGCAAAGAAAGTACGATTGAGACAGGAGTAGGGAAAAGCAAGGAAACAAGATAAAACTACATTTAACTGCACATACAGAACCAGTTAAGACACGCCATTCTTAAGAGGCCAATTTATTTGTTATTTAGAGAAGACAGAAGGGATGGACAGAGGAAATACGTGTCTTAAAGGAGGTCATATCTTTATTTGTGCCTTTATTTAATGCTCCATTTTGACTAATCCTCCTGAAAGAACTAAAAGGAGTTTAATTCAGTCTTATCATCCCCTTCTAAAAGTTCAATTCCCTCTCCCTTTTGTCCTTCATTCCTCTGGATTTAGGGCATGAAAGCATATCATTAAAATTCAAGTGTAACAATTTACCAGATCTAAAGTATGCTTGCTGAAACATTATGACTTAAAACAAATTTACTGTGGACAGAACACAGGTTAATTGATCATGATAAAATAATTGATGTGTTACAACACAGCATGAGCCCATCTACACCGCGGGCCATAGGCTGACCTACAGAGGAGTCACTACAGACAAAATTTAATTCTGGAATGCGGCATCTTAAAAATTGGTTTAACGCTGTAGTTGGAAAGTTTTTATTCTGGATTAGGTGCAGCCTCAAAGCACTCAAATGTATATCATGAACTCACAAGTTTCATACGTTAGTCCTTCAGAACCACCTTACTCTTCTGGGAAACTGAGGTTCGGTGGAGCTTTCAGAATTGTTTTAACTGCAAAATACCATTTCTTTAAATTATGCATTAAAATCTGGATAACTAAACTGTAGTCTTATAAGTGAAGCAAAATAAGGCCAGATATACTAGCATGAACAAGTAGTTTCACTGGCAGCAAAACTTCAAGCCTATTTTTGGTATCTCTCACCAAATTAGTCTCCGAGAGTCCGGCTAGCATTGCAGCGGCTCCTCTGAAGGCGAACCCTTAGAGTCTCCGCCAGCTACCTGATTTGATGAAACTTGTGTGAATAAACAGAGTGATTACACAGTCCTCTTTCTCCATTGAGCTGCTCTTTAACATTTTGTACATTATTCCCCGCCCCCCATTTGACACTTCTTGGTTTCCAATATGCAGAGAGTGGGTTTGTTTCCTACTGCTTGGGAAGGCAATAAACCATCAGAACTCTGTGAATGAGAGAGATGTCTCCGCACTGTGCTTCTGCACAGATGTTTTCCACTAACAGACCACATGGTATCTTGGTGCGCAATTTTCATTTATTGTAACACTGTTTAAAACAATCATTCGTCCAAGAAACTCAAAGTCAAATTTTAAGGCTATCTTGTAAATGCGTATCTTTAGAATGCAGGAGTAGTAAATAGCTGCGACACATCCAAACTATCTATTTAATCTGAAAAAAATTTCAGTAGATTATAAATAGATTTCAAGTTACAGTGCTCTTATGAGAAGTGTAATTACAGATAAGAGAACCACTTCGTTCTTCTTGCATGCTCCTGGGATCCCTTAAAACAGTCTAAGGGATAGCTTATGGTAATGAAAAAATAAATCTGAATTACTTCTATGTATGCTATTTACAGCAGCTCTTGTTACAGTATACAAAAAATACCACATAATCCCATAACAAATTTCACTTTAACTTATTTCCTCTAGACCTTAAGAATAAGCTAGAGAAGATGCAGTCTCCATCAGAGATAAAGGATGAACTTAATTTTTTTTACTTAAATCTCACCCCACTCCCGAATGAGAGCCTACACATATATATTCCTGCACAAATACGTAAACTTTTTTTTTTCATTCTGTTGGGCTCTGTAAGAGCCAACTTGCCACTATCAACATGCGCTTTTGCCAGAAGCCGCATAAATACTACCCGAGTCCAGCGTGTTTTGAGAGTCCCTCCTACTTCCCGGTACAAAAGCCCCTATTGATAAGCTGATGAGTAGCGTAAATGCAGTTCTAAAAAGAACTACCTTTATAATCAATTTTGTCTGAAGACCTTTCCGGCTGCCAAAAGGTCAGAAACTACATCTTCAGGTAAAAACTAACTAGAACTGAAC